CACTCTGATTATTTCTGTTCTCTAGTTTTTTTTTAAATGTGCAGTATCTTTGTCCCAGAAGGGATATACTGATACTGACTCATTTTGCAATGATTAACAGTTTGATACAACTCACTACCACCGGAGCATGCCTCGGCTAGCTGTGTTTGTGTCTATGGATATGAATTAAGGATGATCAAAAGAATGATTTCAGCCTCAGAAAAGACATAGCATTGCTATTTCACACTTTTTCTCCAGTTCTCACTATTAAATATGTTTGATTTGAGTATCAAACCCGCACCCATTTTATAGCCTTGAAATGTGGCTGCAGAAAGTTTGATTTCATATCAGTTAATGGTTTCCAATTGTGACCAGTTTTCACAGTGGGGAAAAAAGCAGGAAATGACCATAAAAACTCTCACAGCATAATCCACTTCTCTGCTGTCCATCTGTGTCCTCAATGTGTTCCAAATAGCCATATTTTTTTTTTGCCAAAACCCTGCTAAATGCACAATTTCCATCTCGGTCCTAACAAGATGTATTTCATGACAATATAATACAGATAATAGTTGTCCCCAAGCTTACCACATTTTTTCTTGCCTAAGTTGTTGTCAGTCTCTGTGTCTATTGGGATTGTTAGTGTGTTTTATATTATAAGGAAATATGAGGGAAAGATACTGTCACTTGTGACCTGTCAGCAACCAGTAACTAATTTGGCACCACTTCTCAAATATCATATATCTTGTGTGTTTGTCTGAAACTGTGTTCTCGCGTATGCCTAGGTCAGCCATTTGTTCAATCAATTTTGGAGGCTGCAGGATAAAAACATAAAAAAAATGTATTGTAAAATAAGTAAATAGAATGAAGCTTTCTGCTCAGGCTGCTGTGCCACACATTTCTCTATATGCAGTCCATGTTTGTGATTTTGAGATGATGAAAGTAAGAGGAAGGACAAGTTTCCAGTTAACATTTCACACTTGGCATTTAGAAAGTATTTATTTGCAATATTGCACATTGTGGCTGCATCCACATTATTTTGGTTAGTTACTTTGTGGTCTGTAAATTCAGATTTTAGCTGGAGGCTTGCTTCTGTATTATATTTCATGGCAGATATGAATTCATCTTGATTATTTTTTATAGATTTTCTTTGTATTCATTTTTGTCTTTGTTTAGTTAAGTTTAGTTTTAAACTCTTTATTACCCTGCATGCATGGCATCCCCTTTTCAGCACAAACTAAACCAGTCTGACTTAAACTAAATATAAAACTGCCAGAAACCCAAAATGCGACAAAAGACAAATGAAAATACAGCAGAAAAGTAAGAACTTAAGCTTTAATAGTGTATTTACATGTAAGTGATTTTATTCCAACTTGTTTTTGTGCCTTTTTCGTTGAATCATTATTACTAGGTACGCTGTCAATCACTGAAGATATCAATAATTCAAAGTTGAAACATTTCTAAAAAAAAAAAAAAAACTCAACACAGGTATGCTTTGTTTTATTTAAAACATACACCGACATTTAACTACACAGACTGGTTAAGGCCAATAATCCCAGTCTAGTTATCCTGTTTTGTGCACATAGTACAGTATTTTTTAAAGTGCATGTGGGTGCATGTATGCTCACTCACTCGTCTGTATCTGCCAGAATGATGGGAGATATCACTGGATTTTATTTACCAACAGCCTTGCTGTCACCCTGCAAGCACCCTCCCTATAAAAGCTGTGATCCTCCTATTTGCTGTCTGCTCGCATCCCACGCTGTCTCCGTCTCGCACTCAGCCTCCATGCTCACCTCGTGTGCCTAGCTAGCATCAGCTTACTATACAAATAACACGGTAGAAGCAAATCCAGCAGCACCCATGCCACGCGCACCTGGGGAAAGCATGATGGAAGGAGGTGTTAATAGTGACAAGGTGGTGGGTAGTCTTGAAAGTAGAGTGGAGAGCGGTATGAAGATCACTTGCAGCCTTCTCTAGCCATCCCATCCTGTGCCTCGCTGCTAAGCAGGGCCCGTTGCCAACGCTCGCGAAGGCTGTAATGAGTTTATTTCATGTCGGCTGTGAAAGTGCCCGTCTCTGTCTCGCAGGCACTCAAACAGAGCTGAGGCCCATAAACACAAAGTGCAGTGTGTAAATCCCCACTGCCTGACGTCTCCCACCCTGCCCTCTATGGCTCCTGAGCATCTCTTTATCGAGAGGGAGGAGGGAGACGTTAGATCTCCCACTTACTCCCTGAGAAGACACCGTGGCCCCCGGCTACAAGGTGCAGCCCGGCCCCCTTGCCAAAGACCACTTGTGTTATAATCTTCAACCTTGGCTTCTTACACTTGTCTCTCTGGAGAATGCATGTTTTTTTCATGTCGAGAGCAGACCTAAGGAGAGACGATCAAACAGTCAGCTGCGGTACGGAACACGCTGTTTGTGGTAAACAGCAGAATATCAAAAACAGCCAAGTGCGCAGTGATTCGCTTTGGCTCGTGGTATTTCACCTCTGACGAATGGGACATCAGATGTGCGCTTTCCATGACGTCAGCTGGCCTAGCTTGCCCTGCTCTCCTGTCCAATCCCCTCCCCCTGCAATGCAAAATGCTCCCCTTGTATTCTCTTTTCAAGCGCAGGTTGGTGTCCCTACACAAGGTCTCTGTGCAGTGCTGCGTCCTCCTAGGGCCTTGGAGCGACTGGTAGGTCACCGGTTTAAGAAGCAGTAAGTGAAAGAGAAGGAGGCAGGGATGTAGAATGAGAAAGGGAGTTTCTATCTTTCTGTCCTCTCTGACATGGCTTTGGTCCGTGTTGAGGGATTAGTATGTGAGGCTCCACCACAACCTCTTTCTTGGCTTGTTTCCAGATATTATCTTTAAGTGTGAGCTTGACGCCGGCCTCTCTTTCTCTGTTTCCCTTCCCCCTTCCTGTATGAACTCAGTGGTGTGAGTCATCTCGGGCTGCTCGGGGAGTGATTTAATTGCTCTCTCTCCTCCTCCTTCAGCATGCACGTCTCGGAGAGGGCTGTCACTGACCCTCCACTCTTACAAAAAACACCAGCGACCTATTCATTACCACAAAGGTTGGGCCACCTCCAAAGACAGCAAAAATACACACTCCAGAAATTTGCTCAGTTATCCCTATTGATGGCAGCACAATGCTGCCTGCTCCTGCCATGCTCTGCCCTGATAACTCTCTCTGTATTGTTTGCCGTGCTGTAGCCCAGCCGAGTGAATGTGGGCACAATATGGGGCGATAGAAAAACCCCCACAGCACCAGAAGAGCGTTTGTGATCCCAGTAAAGGGGAAAACCCTCTGTGGTTTTCACCATGGGGGTCAGATAATTGTTGTGTAACTGGTTGGTATGGAGGCTTTGATTTGCTCCAGGTCAAAATTATGGAGCAACATTTTCATTCAAAATATAGTAATGCCGACACATGAACCCGTGACAATGGTGTGGTAGACTATATATAGCAAAACAGGTGTTTTTTTAAGGATATTTTTTGTTTTTATTTTTATTTGATGCAATACCAGATGAAGAAAAGATGTATGTAATGTTTTGCAGTTGAAATATTTTAGATCATAATTGTTAAATGATTTATATTTAGAGTCTAGGTTTAGGTGTACATGGGGTATTTGGACAGGAATCTGCATTTTTCTGTCGCACTTCTCTGCACCTGCGAAGTTGGGCAGTAGGTGGCACTGTTCCTACAGATGAGCGGGTTGCTGAGGGTGTGATGTGGAGAGGCTACCTTGCTGGGAATGGCTGAATGTGATTGAAAATAGGTCTGCCTTGACTTAGCAACACCCATCCATATATGAACCCTCTCAGATGAAAGAGTTGTTTGTTGTTGATAGGGGAAGTAATTATTGCACCTCTGCAGCAGACAAATCTCCTTCATAGCAAAGCGATTCAACATTGACATTGGCTGTGTGATAGACAGAGCTCAAAAAGGGGCGAGGGGCTAAAATGCCACTGTGATTATAACAATTAGAGAGGATGAGCATAAATTAGAGTGTATTGCTCCAGGGGCCGACTGGCTTTCTTTTTTTTTCTCCCCTGTGATGCTGATGAGTGTCTCCAGAGTTGTATAAGAGCAGACAGGGATCAATGGCGAATGCTGACTACTATGGATGTACTCTGGACTGCCTGAGATGGCTACTAATCCAGAATGATTATGCAGTGTACTCTTTGCTCTTGGCCTAGTCTAGACAAACAATACACACAGGCACACACACATGCATATGCACAAAAAAAAAAAGGGCAGCCTTTGAGCAGAAGCCTTTGGTGAGGAGTGAAGTCACTTTTCATTCCCACCAAAACACACACCCAAGAGTTTTGCTGCAGTTATACCACTCCCCCCCCCAACAGTTTTTTTAAATTTTTTATTTAACTTAACGATTTAACTAATACTACTATACAGATGTTGTTGCTTCCAATGCTGAGTTTCAGCGCACTGAGCTATCGCCGGGAGGCAAAGCCTATAGGAACACAAACAAAGTCCTAATGCTTACCTCCAGATCCCTCCTCTTCTTCCCTCTCGCCTTCATCTCGTCTCACACGCTCCGTGCTACCATGCTGCACAAACAAAGTGGATGTTTCTGAAGCAGTCACACAGCATACATTTCAAAATGCTGCATTGATTTTTTTTCAAAGACATTCAAATTTGACTTGGTGTCAGTCTGTCATATTTGAACACTGCACACTGAATTAATGCTGTGATTCAGTGAATACTGTATGTTTATACTAGGGCCAAGTAGTATTTACTAATACTGTTTATTGTCTATTTTAGACTACCTAGGTGACAGATGGGTGATGTTTGGTATATAAGATTGACACAGTGAAGGCTGCGGAGTTGAGATGATTGCAAGAAAGGTTTTGTGTATTTAATACATTTTTCTGTGGTTGACAAACATACACGACAACACATCCCTCTGTAAGTAGGTAAAACGCAATGTTTTTTTGAATTTTTTGTCTTTGTTTTTTAATTTAGAGAATTTTAATAACTGACATCAGTCATATGTCCCATCTCTTCTCTTAGCTTTGATGGAAGTGCACGTCCCGGAGCAGCCAGTGGTGGCTCTCCATGGAAGGGATGCCACACTCAACTGCTCCTTCAGCCTTGCCACCCCCTTCAACCTGTCTGATCTGACCATCTTCTGGCAGCTGACAGACACCAAACGCAGTGTGCACGGGTACAGGGAGGGACACGACCAGCTGGCGGACCAGGCCGAGAGCTTCGCCAACCGGACCAGCCTGTTCCCCGCCCAGCTGGGCCTGGGCAACACTTCGCTCCTGTTGCGCAGGGTGGTGGTGGCTGACGAAGGCAGCTATACCTGCTTCGTCAGGGTGCAGGACTACGGCAGTGCTGCTTTGCTGCTCCAGGTTGCCGGTGAGTCAAGCTGTGAAATCCATGACGCGTGTAGAGACGTACCAATGAATGCATACATGGACACTTATGACCAGTAAATTACATCTGTTGTATTGCTCTCCCCTTTTTCCCTTTCCCGATGAGTCATTTTATCAAGCAAAAATGTGGAAAAAAAGCAACATTAAGTTAACAATTTCCCACCAGCCTGAGATTTTATAGATGATTGATAAATTGAATGATAAAGAAAAATAATTAAAAGATAAATTGATTAAAATAAATAATAAGTCCTCAATGTATGGGTTACTCTAGCAATTTAGTATGGGGGGTGCATATGGGACATATCCCTTGATACAACATGATAGCATCTTTTGTTAGGCTTCTCCTGCCTGGTAAATACCCATATCTTCAAAAGTCCAAGCTTTCTATAATTTGTCTCCGAGCCCAAGATAGAGAGCCAACTAAAGTATTATATAATTGATTTCACACACACACACACACACAAACAAACACACACACACCTACACATGTTAGATTGCAAGGTAATTATAAAGATCTCAAGAACTAAACAAATAAAGTGACTAGATAAAGGGTACATGCTGTTAATTAGCTGGTGTTTTCATTGTAGTGACACTTCTGATTGATTTTATTGAAAGTGATTTGACCTCCGTACTTTTACACACATATACACTAATAGTATGCAATAAAATGTATTATATAGTTGACTATAGAGAAGGTGATTTATGATAATTTCTTCTCATGAGACGCAAACAGGTGATAAATTGTTTCCTCAGGGCTGCTGAGCAATGTTTTTGGTCAATAAGCGCTGATTGTGGTCTCTGTCATGGTCAATATCTGCTGACTTTGATTATTAGCTGTTGTTACGGTCAATCAGCCACTGCTAACATCTTCTCTGCTGTGCGACTACATCGCCCACCTTCACAGCTGAGAGCCTTTTATTTATTTATAATGATTCCGTGTGCCTTTCCTTCCTTCTCCCATTTCTATATCTGTTGTGAGATTGTTCCTGTATTCTCCAAGGATGGATGTGCATTAGGTGGTGTTAATGAATAAATTTTTTTCTCCTGGCTGGGGAGAGGGAAAACAATGTCTCCAACAGTGATAAATTGGTTCCATTTTACGTATTAGATTTATAGATGCTCTATTTTTAGCCGGCTTTTACAGTTAACATTGTGGACTTCCTTCATGCTGTGCTGGGAGAAAATGAAAGGAGCCCTCGATGGAATTTTGCCTGTCAGTCAAATGGACAGCTGGGGAAGTTAGTGTGTACCACGCTAAATCTGTCTTTGTGTTGAGAGTCCACTTTTCAAAAAGCAGCTCAGACAAACTTATTTCATCTCCCCCTCAGCTCCACCCCATTGTTTGCTGTGCAATGATTGGTTCTGGGAATACAGCAGCGTCTCTCTCCGCCACCTCTGTACTCCTGTTTTAGCTCAGGGGATTGGAGGAACGTGATTTCAACCGAGGCCGACGACTCACCCCTCACCCCCACCCGTCTACGCTCTTTTCCATGCCATAGGCTGAGTCGTCCCAAATCTCTGAGCCTGCCAGTTTTCTCCCAGGCCTGCCCACCTCCGCCTCCCAGCTTGTACCATATTTCCTTTTTGGGAGTGGCTCAGTGCTTTGGCCCTCTAGAGGGAGCGGTGTTAGAGTGTAAGGATGCAGCATCAGGATGTGCCACAGATGCTGTCTGTGGGATCTTAAGCACTGTGTTATGCTAAGCTCCCTAAATATAATTAAGAATTTAATAGGAATCATGTCAAACAGTTCCCAGGGTGACTCTCACTGCATAGAATCTAACTAAAGTCTGTATGTGTCTGCTGCTCCCTTATCCTCTCCCCATCCTCACCTACCCTTACCCACCCCACACTTCTTTTCCTCCTCCCTCGGACCATGAATCCTCACCTCTCCCCATCTCTTCTTTCTGAGTACTCTTGCTGTTTTTCAGCCCCCTACTCCAAGCCCATAGTGACTTTGGAGCCCGAATCAAATCTGCGTCCAGGTGATGAGGTAGCCCTGACTTGTGTGGCCTATGGTGGTTATCCTCAAGCTGACGTGGTATGGCAGGATGGGGGCGGGCGCAACCTGACGGACAATATCACCAATTCAGTGGTGGCCAATGAGGAAGGGCTGTTCACTATGACCAGCGTGCTGACAGTTGTGCTGGAGCCCAATAGCACCTACAGCTGCCGACTGATCAATCCACTACTAGGCGAGGAGAGCTACGCCTCTGTCACAATCACAGGTGGGTGTTGGTCTTCATCTCTCTTTCTCTGGAAGTAGCTTCTATGTCTTCAGTCAGCGTAAGCCCGCTAATATTTTTGGCTCTCTACAGTGTTTGAATGTTACTAGCTAAGACTAATCTTGTTTTCAGTCTGCATAGATAGAGTTTCATATTAAAGTCTCGTATGCTTTCATGAATCAATCCATCTGTCAGATTTTATGCTTTGGAGACTTTTTGGTTTGTCTTTCTAAGTCTGTTTCCTGCTAAGAGTAGCAGTTCAACTCAACGAAATTAAGTAATGAAATGTCCAATTATGGTTCAATAAGCATAACCCATCAGTTCTTGTGCATCGTTAAATTAGATCAGTGGGTGATTATTTCCCTGAGGATAGTCAAATAGCTATTCATCACATATTTCAAAAGGAAATACAGTAATAAAACATTGTGCTAGAGTGATTGGTCTCCTAGCAGCTGTCTGCAGGAAATGTTTGCTTACCACAAAGTAGACTGATATGTTTGACTTTTTCTGATTGTTTGATGAAATCTTGAGCTGGGTGTGTGACAGTGCCCATGTCATAGGTCTGATGGTGTCCTCAACCCGCCCACCACCACCCACTGCACATGCCCCCCTGGCCCTGGTGCTGTACTCTATGTGTTAAGTGCAAGGAGAGTGCCGTGTAAGGTGGGCCAAGGATGGGTCTCTAATGGGAGCAGCACTGTGTGAAATGGCTCATAAATAAGTAGAGGTGGCCTGAGCCTGCTCTCTAGGCTGGAGCTGGTGCTGGAGCTCGGTCTGTTGAGGCGGAGGTCGAGGCAGAGGTCAGGGAGTGCTGCTCCACTGGGCTGGGAAATGACTGTGCTGTCTGGAAACAGGATGGCCGATTGGCAGGGCAAGCTTGCTGGATGGCTGAGGGAGGGTGGCCTTTCTAACAGTTTGGTTGGCCTCTTTCAAAACAGCACAGATAACCAGTCAGAGAGACCATTGGGGGAGTGGAAAAGTATTAAACACATGGTGAGAATGAAATACGACTGTAAGGTAGCAGTGTTAAAATAGTCTGTGGCTGCTATTACCCTTTGACCTTTGCTGGATTGATGCACTATTTCAGGTTTGGTTGAAATAGATTTGATAGTTTTATTACCTTTGATGTCAGTTTTTTTGTCTCCTCTATTTCCCCTCTACAGATGAGACTCATTTGGGAAAAAAAAAAGTTGATTGAGTCATCTGGATTGGAAATGAAAATGGTCATGCATTTTTATCCTTTTTCAGGGAGGCGAAAAAATGTGAAACAGTGACAATGACATTTCCAATTTCTCCTTGTCTTTCCTACACTCCCAAAGTTTAAAACCATCCATTTTAAGCCAAACCTTTTAACTCTACAAGTAGCTTCCATGATGGTGGAAATTTTGACATGGAGAAACACTCTGTTATGTACCAAAGTTAAATCATCATGCTATTAGATGGCTTCAGAGTGCAAGACATTGAGGCTTGGTCTTCAGGGTTGCAATAATGTCATCATAATCTAATATTTTTGTCATCTTTGGATGAAAGTAGTGACAAACAAGACTACTTGTCAGCGTGGATGCTACTAAGAGTGTGATAATTACACGTAATAGTTGAATCAACCCTGGGAAAGGACGAGAGTCAAGAGTCTCTGTGAGTGATGGATTGGTAGCATGATTGTGCATGGAATGGTCCTCGATTTTGGCTGACAGTTTAGTGCACTTACTGGTGGGAGTTCACTTAGGGCTATCACCTGGACCAGATCCTGTTTCAGATGGTATCTGGGGACTTGAGGTAGCAGGCGAAACCGGCTAACTAGAAGGGCCTCCGAACTTAGAAAACTAGTGCAAGAGGATAAACCTTTTAACTAATGGCATTGCAAAGAAGAAGGTTCAACAAATGCTCTCTAGCAACCCAGAACTAGATGGCTTAATGAATGGATACCAGGTAATCTCCCGAAGAAGTTGCTTTCTATGACGGATTTTTATCTTACCTAGGTTGTGACTCAGCCTACAGGAATTGATTACCATATTCCATAAACAGTGTTTAACTTTAACCTCTGTTGATCATACTTTTCACTAACATACTTGAGCTGTCTTCAGGCAGTATCGGTAGCAGTGGGATGCTGTGACTGTAATTTGATCACTTCAACAAGAAAAACTAAAATGCCCAAATGTTGAGTTAAGATTGTTTACTGCAGGCCATATAAAAGTTAGTGGATGAGCATGCTCCACTAACAAGTCTGTAAAGTGCGGTAGTGCACAATTGGCTTGATGAGTTGAGATATTTAGTGCTGCAAAGGTACAAAGCCAAGATAGCTGCTCATAAATCAGGGTGCTTTTTAGATAGAAGCTCTTATTGTAAGTGGAAAAAGTTAAATTACATCAAAACTAGAATATTGTAAAAGAATATTATAAACAAAAAAATGTAGCCCTGTAAATGTTATTAAAAAGTATGGAAAACTGTGATGTAGCAAATCAACAAATACTTCTTCAACAAATTAGACAGCTTAAGGTCTTGCATGCAATTTTGAATTTATGTCAACATAACATGTAGCCCCATTGTTAGCAATATTATGAGCGATAAAACATATTGTTTTGCATTTGATCAGATTAACAGAATGCAATTGAGTATGGTTGGTATAGATAAACTGGATGGTGCTTGTTTTAAGTTGCAGCTAGGCTGCTTTCCAAACCTATTTGTCATATTTTTGATAGATGCTCTCTCAGTGGGACCTGTCCAGAGCTTTGGAAAGAGTCTGAAATCCTACATTTACCCAAGAATGGAAACGCAGGTTTTACTTGTTCCATGCTACCTGTGCTGAATAAGACACTTCAGAAGATAATTTTTAATGAAATGTAGGCAGGAATGGACTTACAATAGCACAGCATGCTTATAGACCAGGGCACTAGCACTGCATTAGCACACGTCATTGATCAATGGGTAACTCATATGGATGACCAGAAACAGTCGGGGCTGTGCTCTTGGATTGGCTTTTGATGTCATTGAATATATTATTCTTATTGCCAAGCTTAAATGTAATAGTTCTTCACTTTCAGAGTTGCCTCTCTGGATGAATAAAGCAAGTATTTTTCAATGGCAGCGAAAAAAAATAACATGTGGTGTTTCAGTTAAATAATTTACCATATGTTGTAACAAATGCTGATGTAGTTATGTGCGCAGATGACTCAACTTTGTTCTGTGCTTCACCAACATTACTGGAGCTGAGAGAATCTACAGTTGCATACCATTATTAAATGGCTGAGAATTAACAAATTAGTACCGATTGTCAAAAATAAATTTATTGTATTTGGTAGTGAACAAAAATTTATGAATTTCTATTATTATTATTGAATATATACAGTCTCTCTATCTATTGAGGCTTTGGAACCTATTTGATTGTTTTTATTTTATTTTTGTTCCTGTTTATTTGTGACAAAAATAATGTTTTTGACATTTACTCTTTGTGAACTGAATATCTTTAGATTTTAAACATTTGGTCAGACAAAACAAAATATTTGAAGAAGTCACCTTGATCCGTGGGACGTTAAGGCCATTTTTCACTATGCACATTTTATAGACAATAATAAATTAGTTTAGTTAGTTTGCCGCCCTAATACTACAAGGATCAAATCCAATATTAGAGCAGTTTTTCATTGCCTTTTGTCATTTTCATTTTAGTTGGTGGTAGCGCTGTACTGCAAACAGAATCAAATAAAGGAAACAAACAAACAAACAAACATACAAACCCAGTCAGAGAACATGCCCAAGAGCAAAAGAGACTGATAAAAGAGAGGTTCGGCCATGGAGCAATGGAGATATTTTAGTGTTAGGAAAGTAAAGATTGAAAGAGGGATGGCAAAAGGAGCAACCAAAACTGGGGAAAACCCTTCATTAAAACAGTGGTGATGGTGATTCTCAGCAGTTGGGTGTACACGAATAAGAGTAATTTCTCTGTAGGAACGCCGGCACAGCTTGACGATAGCCCAAGTTGTTAGTAAACACACAGAAGATTTACAGTATTTTGTGTGCCGCGATACAAGGGGGCTTGTTTGAAATGAAAATGTATTTGCATTTGTTTACAACAGCTGGTGTGTGCTTAACAGCTTCTGTAATTAATTTTGACCCAGTAGAACTCTTCTGCTGGAGTAGCAGAGTGTGGAGTGCGCCGAGCTTGAGTTGATACAGCGAGCACTCTTGCTTGCTGTATACACTCACAAACACAGCACACTGCACACCACACTCAGGACTGGGAGAATCCTATTATAAGAATGGGTGAAATCTGCTTAAAATTCTAAATGGACTATGAGTAAAAAAAAAACTGAGTAAGAGAGAGGAGGGGGATAGGGAGTGAACAAGCATGTTAAAATTTCACACTCTCCTCAATCCCTGTTTGAAAAATTGCAATAGTAATACAAATCTCCCCCAGGCAGAACAGGAGTTTGACAAGGTTAATTTTGAGAAAATGAACCCTTTACCCACACTGAGCAGAACACTATGAGGGCTGGCATGAGCTACACTTTTAGAGTCTCTGTGTTAAGTCATCCATGTTAATCTTACCTCTTTTATAGTCACCACCAATTTAACTACCTCACCAGAAACATCCAGACTGTCAATAACGTATGCACACGGCACATGCACCCAATTATCAGTCATCTCAGAGGCGGTTATTTTTGTAAACACGCCCTGTGGAGTGCTGGTCAGTTTTTAAGCCGGGCTCTGGAATAGGTGGTGTTCTTCTGTTGCTGGGATATTGATAGATATTGCAGAGTGCAGCAAGGCTTAGTTGCGAGGAGACCCATAGGAACAGCTGATATTAATGAACAGTTGAATGATGGAAGGGAACAGCTTCAGTCCTCAAATGAACCGTGGCCTGTCTGCTTGCCTAGCCAGCCCCCCCCACCACCACAACCACCATCCTCCTCCACCTGTCGTGATGGTTTGCACTGTCTCACATTCTCAGCCTATCCTGACCACTTTGTTCTCCTCAAAAAAGAATAATGTTTTTGTAGTTTTGGGGG